ATGTTTTAGAGGGTGAAGAGAAAGATATTTTGTGTGTGGAGGGGGAACCTAGAGTGGAAAGATTCAAGTTCTCCTTTATATTCACAGCTCTGAGGAACTGGTAATGGATGGTCTCTCTTGTGACCTTACATGCTTTGGTGGGTCTGAAGATTTGCCATTTGATTTAGAAGGTAACTAGTAGCGTGCTTTGCCTTTAATATTTAGCTACACTTCTGTTGAATCAGATTAATGAGCAGCTCTGTCCATAATCTCATGGAAATATAAAGGATTCTTGCAGTATATGAGCCAGAATGATTCATAAGGAATTAGAAAGATTTCAATAATCTTGAAACAAGTTATGTAAAACAATTACACAAGCTGATATTTCTCTCATGCTTTACATATTTAATTCTCTTTCAGCATGGAAGGATGTAACAAGTGGAGATACCAGTATTCACAAGCTTCCTGGAGGACACTTTTATCTGCTGGACCCTGCTAATGAAATTTTCATGGCAGACTATATGACAAAATGTATAGAAACTGTTGATCTCTGAGTATATGTCTTTTATTTTGCTGGGAGAGGGGTCAAAGATTAGTCCTAAGCAGTAAATAATACAAAACATTTTCTATACAACTTTACAACTACCACAGAGGCAAGGTAAGCAACTTTCTGTAGTAACAGGGCTAACAGTTGATGTATTAATACAGGTGCATCCTACAGCCAAAGGTTTCTCCAGGATATAATTTATGATGATACTTAGGAAAATTCTGATTCTTAAAAATAAACAGCCAGTACATTAATTTGCTTACCTGTGGTGGTTAGAGTTTGGGGCTGGTGGGAGGATGGTAGGCTAAAAGCATTGCAAAGGTAGTATGTCGGGCTTCAGTGGCTTCCCTCTGCCTTTACCATAGCTTAATCTGGCCCAATAAAGCATCTAAGCAAGAATAAGCTCTATGGGGGTGGGAGGGACCCAAAGTTATTTCCATTTAAAATGTAGTTTTTCTACACCCGCATTTCTATGACTGTAATAGGGCTGGTCTACACTGGGGGTGGGGGGGGAAGGAGAGAAATCGATCTAAGATACGCAACTTCAGCTACGAAAATAGCATAGCTGAAGTCGACATATCTTAGATCGAATTAAAATTACTTACTTCATGTCCTCGCGGTGCAGCTCCGTTGACTCTGCTTTTGCCTCTCGCCATGGTGG